CATACATACATACATACATACATACATACATACATACATACATATATATATAGTCGTATTTTTTTTAATGCTCAATGAAACAAAGATATCTCACCTGTACATGCATCTCAAACTCAAACACAGTTTCGTAATCGACGGTACGGCCTACGGTGTACGCTCCTTTGGGTGCGGTCTCCAAAAATGCTTGAGCTGAGAATGTGATAGCGGAGATTGATGTGTTATTCGGTGCAGTGGGTAGAGTAATAAGTTTTTGTTTCCGTTCATACAATTGAACCAGTCATGGTTACAGGAAAATCTTTTGCTTGATAGCATGGCCGCATACCCAGAAACGTTCGCATATACCCAGGGATATCGCTCCTAATAGCACAAACGCGCGCATTGACTCTGCTAACCTTGCCTATTGAGCCTCGACACAGAGATACTCTACACACAATCGGTCACACAACACACTCTTCTAAAGTATGTCACACCCCCAAGCATCGATATACACATATACTTTCGTTTGCATAACTTACGACTAACCGGGGACATGCTGGCGACACCGTCTTTAACGACTACCGCCGTCAGAGAATGGGCCGTTGCCATGGTTCTATGTGGCGCTCTCAACAGTGTTCCCACGCGTAAAGCGACCCTACTTTTAGGCAGATGAGGTTTCCGTTTGGAGGATGAATGGTACAGATACTGTCACATCTTGCATGAATATATAAAACAAATGCAGCCCGCGTTTGCATGGATGAAGGATATATACATAGGTAACATTCTCACGAACGAATAGTATAGATATATCAACTATTTGAAGGAATTTATATTATGCGACAGTTGTCACAACTAAGACACTGTAATGACAGGATTGTATGTGCGAAGCCAGGCTTGCGTATGTATGGTTGAACCTGGCGAATGACCACTCAACACAACCAAAGTCAAACCAGCACACTTATCAACTAACAAAGATCAGAGGCTATTACCTCATGCTGTAGGCGGCTATCTAAGGATGTTGTTCAATTTCATCGAAAGTTCATGGAACGGTGAATTCCATTCGGACTCCCAAATACCCAAATCGAATGCTAGATTGTGCAAACAAACAAGTATGTTGAATCTACGCATAATAACACACAAATCTTTATTATAATACGATGCGATTTATCGTTTTGGATGTACATAACCTTTTCTGTATAGAAGCGCGCAAGAAACACAATACAACATCCGATGGAACTAATGGATGCATGTGTCTACACCAGTGCAGAGGTTAGTAGTCCTAACTATAAAAACGCAACAGGAAACAAATTAATATAGCACATGCAAAGAGCTTCAAAATACGTACGCACAAGACAGCGAGAATACACTAACGTTTTTTAAGTATTTTGTGGTAATACTGACAAGACAAGGA